ACTGGGGAGTGGGTCACTACCAGAAAGTGGGGAAAAGGGGGCTGCTGACAGGGGCCATCACTGTGACATTGGGATTTGCCCTGGCAAAGTGTGAAGCTTGCCTCTGCCACACTCTGCTCCTGGTGGCCTGAGCCCTGCTTTCTGCACCTTGAGCACTTCCAGTGTTTCAGAGACAGACATTGTCAGGGGCTGCTTTGGTCGTGGAGAGCCCTCAACCCTCAAGAAGGATGTAATCTCTTAGGAGAGAATAGAATTCTCTATCCCTCTTACGTTAGTTTGGGTCCTACGAGAAGCAGGCTCCACCATAGGATTAGAGGTGCCAAAAGGGAAACGCCGGGGCAGGGTTCAGGGCAAGGAGCAGGAGCTGGCCGGAGTCTGACACCTTTGAGCTGCTTCCTGCAAAAGAGTGCTAGGACCCACCAGCTCAGCCACCGGCTCCTCTTTCCCCTTGACCCTTGGCATTGCTTGTGTGGACTTTGCCGGAGCCTCTGCAGGAGCCCTGGACAACTTGTTTTTCCTTCTCAGACAGCTAGAAAATGACTGAAGCCCAAACTCCTGCCCTTGTGCTGTCCAGGACCTTCATGCCCAGCTTCACCTTGGCATCCCACCCTCATCCTCTCTGCCCCCCACCCCGGCCCTTCACATTCCTCAGGAGCATGGGGTCTGCTGCCACTGAGCCCTCATGCCTCCTCCTTTTGCATTTGTGCCAGGTTTCCTCCTGCCCAGGGTGTCTTCTCTTTCCCTTTAGTTCAAATGAAATCCGATTGTTTTCTGGCCCAAGTCCACCCCCATGTCTTCAGGGTGCTTCAGCCCCCACCCATGTCCCAGTCCTGGGATTTCTGCTTTAGACAGGGCAGTGCTACAACTTAGCACCTCATAGTTCTCCAGTGGTTTCAGCTATTGTGATTTTGTTTCTTAGACTCGATTACAAATTCCTTGAGGGTCAGGACAATGACAAATGGCTCTCTCCCCTCCGTCCTTCTTTCCTTCTCTTCCTTCTGCCTTCCCTTCCTTCTATTTATCAAGTAGAAATTGATGCCTTCCAACTGGATTGGCCACCTCCAAGGTCCTAGAGGGGTCCCCAGGTTGGCAGAGTTGTCTGTTTTGTGTTTTTTTTTTGAGGTGGGTTTTCGCTCTTATTGCCCAGGCTGGAGTGCGATGGCACGATCTCGGCTCACTGTAACCTCCACCTCCTGGGTTCAGGCGACTCTCCTGCCTCAACCTTTCGAGTAGCCAGGACTACAGGCATGTGCCACCACGCCCGGCTAATTTGTATTTTTAGTAGAGACCGGGGGATGAGGCGCCTTCTTAAGAGGGGGTCCTGCCATCCTGAGGCTCACAGTTAGACGCCAGGATGCCCAGGGCACTTGATAGGAGGAATAATGAAGCATGGAATGCTCAGCCTGAGATGAGATGGCTCAGAGGCTGTGGGTGGAGGACAGGGCAGAGCTTTTCAAAATATGAAGGGTAGTCATCTAAAGCAAGGGCAGACAAGCTTTTTCTATAAAGGGGCAGATATTTTAGGCTTTGCAGGCCTCATGGTTTCTGTGGCGACCACTCAACTGAGTTGTGACACAGAAGCAGCCACAATATGGCAGCCAATGTGTGTAGACGTGTGTCAGTAAAACCCCATTTACAGAGATAGGTATCAGGCATATTCAGCCCTACTCCTGAGCTAGACCCTTGCTCCTCACAACGTGGTCCTTGGACCAACAGCATCACCATCACTTGGAGGCAGGTGAGAAATGCAAAATCTCAGGCTTGGCCGGGCACGGTGGCTCATGCCTGTAATCCCAGCACTTTGGGAGGTCTAGACAAGTGCATCACTTGAGGTCAGGAGTTCGAAACTAGCCTCACCACCATGGTGAAACCTCATCTCTACTAAAACTACAAAAAAAAAAGATTAGCTGGGTGTGGTGGTGCCTGCCTATAATCCCAGCTACTTGGGAGGCTGACACAGGAGAATCACTTGAATCTGGGAGGCAAAGGCTGCAGTGAGCTGAGATCTCTCCATTGCATGCCAGCCTGGGTGACTGAGCAAGATTGCATCTCAAAAACAAGCAAGCAAGCAAACAAACAAACAAACAAAACTTCTTCTCAACATAAAGATGAATTTTCCACTTTAGATCCTCAGTCTTGCAACAGGAGGCTGCTTCTGTGGGTAGTGAGCACCCATCACTCTGATGGGCAAGCAAAGGCTGCACACTCACTGTTCAGCACGTTAGGGAGGACCTGAACAGGACAAATAGCACCGTGGCTAAGTGCCCTCCTGGGAGGCAAGCTGCCTGGATTTGAATCCTGATTGGACAAGAGGATGTCTCATTGGTTTCTATTGCAGATTTCTCATCTGTCCAATGAGGTAATCAAGGATCTCATAGGGTTGTCCTGAGAATGCATTTGCTCGAAGGACTAGACCGTACCAGTGGTAACACCATAAATGCCCAGTGTTAGCTGTTAGGATAGGTTATATAATTCTATAATAGATATCCACATTTTTGGTTGGATCAGGGACCAACCTTTGTGTCTAAGGTCCTTTCCTTCCAACTCTGAGACTCGAGGAGGGAGAGGATTTGGGGAAGAGCAGTCACAGCCGGTACGGTTTCAGTATTTAGCAGGAGCCAGGCATTATGCAAGCATCAGTTAATGGCTCTCAAATTACTTTCACATACTCGTTGGTGTTGAAGAGCAGAGAGATTATAATCTGTTGCCGCCCAAACACTCTGCATGTTTCAGCTTTAAAAGTCGAATCGAGCCCAGGAACGACGTGCATGGTTTTGTCACCCACAGAGTTATGTCTGGTTGAGGGCCCAGAACTCCCTAAAGCTGGTCAGGGAGCTGCCTCTTCTGACCACATCACTAGCTCAAGTATCAAGATGGCAGTGGCTGGAACCCTTTATTGCAGAAAAATAAGATGCCTGCTGACCCCTAATCACATTCATGTGTGGCACCTCAAGACTTAATGCCCTGTTTGTTCCCTCTTGTTTCTGTGTTTATAATCCCTAGCTATAGGTTTGGTGGAAAGAGGGTTTGATTTTTGTCACTGATCTTGGTTTGGATTTGTGCTCCGTCACTTCCCAGCTGTGTGACCCAGGGAAAAGCTCTTGCCCTCTCTGAACCTTGGCTTCTTTCTTCATCGAATGGAATGATAGTACTGTGTACTTCACAGGGTCATGGTGAGGATTAAGTGGGAATGTATGTAGGAGTGCTTCGTAGACGAGTGTTGGTTGTCATTTTGATGAAACTTACAAGCCTCTTAAAGGTGTTTCCTTTACCCACAGTGCTTGGCATAAAACAAATGGTCACTACATACTTATCAAATGTGAGAGGAATGGATGATCTCCCCGATGCAGCCTGGGAAGAATCTGTTTTGGATGGGACTGTGGTAAATGCCCCCAGACCTGCCCAGCCCACCTAACTCTCTCCCGCTTGCCCCATCATCTCATCTCTAGCATTCATGATGGGATGCAGAAATTGCTGTCAGCTGGTGATGAGTCTGCTCACCTTTCTGCCTGGTAACAGCTGTGGCTTGGGGCTGTGAAAACTGCCATAGAGTTCTTATCTTCCCAAAGAAACCTTTCAGAAAACAACATCTTGAATTTTTTATGGTTTATGTGTGTTTCAAAAAAGTGGGTGGATAGGAAAGTAAAGACTGCTCTTTGTGCCTGAGGACAATCTCTTGCAAGGTCTGGGGAGTCTCTTCTTACCAGGTAAAAATTCTCTCCTCCTTCCCTCATTGTACAAACTTTTGGTCTGCTCTGGTTAATTAATTTCAAGTGACAATAGTCTCAGATGAAGCTGTAAATTAGTTTCAAATGGCACAGCCGGGCCACCCACTACTGGAAGATCATATTGCAGTGACAACATTAAAACTTGAACAACCCTCAACAAGCGGGGAGGAGGGGGAATCCTGAGACCTCAAGTAAAAACACATTTGCAGCTCTATTCCTTGCTACAGCCCTCGAGAAAGTGGAAACAGATGGATGGTGGCTTTGATAATGAGAGAGGCAATCAACTTTAGATTTAAAAAAAAAAAAACTAAACCCTACCAAAAAGGGATGGGTCTGACAGTAAAATCCCAGACACATAACGTTCCGTTTAAGAGGCTGTTGACATACTAGCCAGGAACAGACGGGGTTCTGAGAGAGGTCAGCCTTCTCTCCAGGAGCACGGTCCATTGTTCCCTCGTCTCTGGTACCAGAGCGTTCCGACCCCTAATTGAAACCACTGCGGAGTCTTTGGATGTTAGTGATGGTCAGATTTCCTCTGGAAATCACTAAGTGTTCCCGGGAGAATTGCCTGCTGCCTGCTGCCAGATCTTAGAGTGGAGAAAGACATTTCTGTTTTTAATTTAATTATTTTGTGGGTTGGGGTGTGTGTGTGTGTGATTTTTGGTGGTTTGGTGGGGAGGACAAGATACCAGAAACAAAGAGCTGGAGTTTGATGTCAAGCAAAAAGAAAACTAATGTTGAAATCACAAGATCTGTGTTCGTGTCTCAATTTGGCAACCTACCAGCTGGTTAACTTTTAACAAATCCTGAGATTTATTGTGCCTCCATTTACTTATCTGTAAAAAGAGGGTGAAAAAGCCCACCCCAGGGTTGCTGTGGGGCTCAAGTGAGACCATGGATATGAATGCACTTGGTAACTTCTAACGGCCCATCCATGAAAGTTTCTCAGTGGCTGAACCAGACAGAGTGTTGGAGAAAGGTGTTAGAGCAGGAATTAGAGATCTTGGGCTTTTTTCCCCTAGTTCTGCCGCTTTCCAACCCTGGGCTTGTCTCCTCTCTAGGTTGACCATTAGCTCTCTGCCTGTCTGATCAGAGCTGCCCCTCCTGCCCTGTTCCCCAGCCAAGAGCTGATGAATGGTGATATGGTTTCATTGTGTCTCCACCCAAATCTCATCTTGAATTCCTGTGTGTTGTGGGAGGGACCTGGTGGCGGGTAATTGAATCATGGGGGCGGGTCTTTCCCATGCTGTTCTCGTGACAGTGAATAAGTCTTACAAGATCTGCTGGTTTTAAAAATGGGAGTTTCCCTGCACAAGCTCTCTCTTTTTGTCTGCTGCCATCCATGTAAGACGTGACTTGCTCCTCCTTGCCTTCCGCCATGATTGTGAGGTCTCCCCACCTACGTGGAACTGTAAGTCCATTAAACCCTTTTTCCTGTATAAATTACCCAGTCTCAGGTATGTCTTTTTCAGCAGTGTGAAAACAGACTAATACAAATGGTGTGCACCTGCACTAGCAGCCCCACTGGGCAGGGCCACACCCTTTGTCCACATCTAGCACAGGCTGGGCAATCAATAAATCACTGTTGAATGAGCAGATGAACCAGTGAAGGGGCTTGGACAAGGAAGAGGGTTAGGACTGCTGGAAAATGGCGGGATCAAATTGATTTCTCAGTAATCTCAGCAATTCCTCTGGGGATGTTGTCAGAAGATGGGGCCATGTGAGTTTCTGTTGTTCAGTGGGTTGTTTGAGGCCCCAAAGAGAGGAGAGACTCAAATGGAACAAAATCCTGTTTTGGTTCTGAGAACATTTGCATGTTTGCCAGTTCAATCATTTTGGAAAATAGAGATTTGGTTCTGATTCAAGCTTCCACTCTGGCTTTTTTCAAAGGCTGCTTTTGATAATATTTATCAGCATCATGGGGACAGGGGCTGGGCTTGTCTTATTTACTGAGTATTCTAAGCATCTAGCAGGTGCCTGACACACAGGAGATGCACAGTAAATAGTTAGTGGTAAATGCAGCAACCTCTTTCCTTTTCTCTCCCACTTACCAAGCCAAGCTGAACCCTGAGACTTGACAGCACCCACACAAAGGCAGGTGTCAGAGCTGTGGTCTTCTTAGAGAATTTCTTGGTACAGTCGGTGGAGGCATTATGGCAGAATTCCCCAGAGGGGACTGGTGATCACTGAGGGCTTGGGGCAGGGCACTGTTGGGATTTACATTCTTCCAATCTGCAGCCCAAATCTCTGGAGATGGCTTCTATGGTCAATGGGTTCCTATTCTGGGGCAGTGCTCCCTGTTCTCCGTAGTGCTTGGTTTTAGGGTACACCCTAAATCAGATATTTCAAGTCCAATTCCTGCTCAATGCACTGACTTCTCCTTGCTCTGCAGTCCCCCGCCATGCCAGAATCCACTTGCATTTCTGGCAAGAAGGTTGTTTACTCTCAAGGTCTGCAGGGACGGAAGTGGCAGCCGGTGAGAGGGCTCTGCCAGTGTAGCTGTGAAGGTGTCACCCTCATTCTGATGGACTTTTGAGACTCTGGTCAGCACCCCGGCAAGAGGGTGGCTGGGATACGTCTGCTGTGTTTGACGCTGCTCTTGTTTTCTCCTCCCTTTTTACTTTCTACCTGCACTCCTCTCCTTCTCTTCCACTCCATTCCCCTGCCCACCTCCACACTGAAAATCTAGGCCTTGGGAGGAGAGGTCAAAGGGGGAAGAATTCTTCCACACTTTATAACAAGGAGCCCAGGCAATAGCATGTTTCTCCTGCCACCAGCGGCCAGCCATAGAAAGAGTTGATCCATGAGCTGTTTCTCCAACTCTTTGAGCAGTTCATGGCACGGCTGTAGCGTAGACTAACCACTCAACATTGTTAGAAACATTTAGAAATGTCTCCCTCTTTGCCGCAATTTCCCGCTCTCCGCCTGTGTCTGCTCTAACAGCTGGAAGAAATTTCTCATTCATCTGCTATGTTCAGCCTTTCACTGAGCTCCATCAATTTTGCCTTAAAAATTTTTTTGGTACTGGTCTCCTTTTCTCCTTTCCACTGTTAATCCCGGGGGCCTGTCTCTCACCCCTGTGTGTCTGAGTTGCCTCAAGAACCTCCTGACAGAGCTCCCTGCCTCTGGCCTCTCCACCTTTGATCCATTCTGTACAGCCAAGACAGATTAATTTTTCTCAAGCTCTGTTTGCATCTTAGGAGGCCTCAGCTCAAAACCCCTAGGCTCTCCAATGTCCTTGGCATTCAGACAGCTTGCACGGCTCCCTCTCCCTGTACCTTCTTCCCAGACTGTGGCTGTGTTTGCTTCCTGTGGCTGTTGTAACAAATCCCCACGAACTTGGTGACTTAAGACAACAGAAACTTATTCTCTTACAGTTCTGGTGGCCAGAAATCCACACTGAGTCTTACAGGTGCAGATCAAGGTGGCAGCAAGGCTGTGATTCCTTGGGAGCCTCCCAGGGAGAATTCTCTTTCCTGGCCTCTTTCAGCCTCTGGTGGCTGCAGGCATTTCTTGGCTTGTGGCCACATCACTCCCGTCTCTGCCTCAGTGGTCATATTGCCTTTTCTTTTCTCTGTAGTGAAATCTTTTTCTGCCTCCCTCTTATAAGACACTTATAATTACATTAGGAGCCTATCTGGGTAACCCAGGGTAATCTCCCCATCTCAGAATCGGCAAAGTTCTGTTTCCCCATGTAAAGTCACAGTCATAAGTTCCATGAAAGGCATAGGCACATGGATCTTTGGGGGCCCGTCATTCAGCCTCTCATTGTGGCTAACTTAATTCCTCTACGTCCCTACTCACTGCTGCAGCAAGTATCCATTGAGCATCTACTCTGTGCTAGCGTCTGTTCTAGGCAACAGGAGTCATGACTTACGAACCTTTTCAGATTCAGTCTCCTGCAGGGTGAACTATCCCTTTCCTGGGCTCTTTACCTCTTAGAGCTTGGTATCATTACATAGCATGACTGACACATGCTACGTGTGTCTGCGTGTCTGGCAATTGTCAGCTCATTCAATTCACAGCTGGTGAATGGTGTTCTTCGTTTCTGTAGGCAGGTAGGATGGACGCTCTGGGTAGGGCCTTTCTCTGCAACTCCTGACATAGTACAGAGGTGGGACAGCCCCAACTACATCCTGCTGGATGTTGCTGGTTTATTATGTTTAAAGTTAGAAAGGCCTATACAGTACCGTACACCAGTGAAGCCCACAGGAGATCAATAAGTTTGTACTCTCGGAAGTGTTAGGATTGGGTGCAGCCTAATATCTAGGAAGAGTTTTGAAAGGCAGTGTGACTTAGAGCTTCACACCCGTCTTCTTAAAAGCCTGGCCCTTTCCCAATCTCAGTTTGACATGTGCCTTCTGCAGGGACTGGCTTCAAGGCCTCACCACTGCGTGTTTCCTTATTGGTAAGTGTCTCGCTTTTTAAGGTAGAAGCTCTCTGAGGAGAAAGATCGTTTTATACACACGCAAGCATACACATACACATCCCGTAACTCTGGCCCTTCGTCGGACTTAGCACAGAGAACTTGGGTGTTAGTTGCATTCCAGCCAGTGTCGCCCAGTGCTTTCTTTCAACTCTTCGACAACTATCATCACTTTGCTACACCCCTTGTGCGATCATTTGATTAATTTGTCTCAACCTTTAGCTTGTGTAAACTTATTTTAAAAGAAAGCATTTGCATCTCTACCATAAATAGAAGACCAGTGTCATTGATCATAAATAAAGCATAACTGTAAAAAGAAATATACTGAAAATGAAATAATGTGATTCCCTTAAGAATTAAAATAATAAAATGTTGAGGGATAGTATCGAATTGATTCACAAAATCAAACTCATTCACAAAATGAGATCCTCAGTGAGAAAAATAAGCAGCCAGTAATGTAAAATATGAACCTTGATGTCCTTTGATTGGAGATGATGATGAGTTTCTATGTCAATTAAATTATAATGTTTGTTAGTTTTGCTGGTAGCCAGCCCTGAGAATTCCATAGTGAGGCGGGACACCTCATCATTACCCAGATGGTAAATTTTAGAAAGTTAAAATGCTTTAATGCATATTTTTAGTACATGTGAAAGAACATATGTATTCATCATTTATGTGAAGTTATAAACTATAATTATTTTATTTTATATTTTTTGAGATGGCTTCCTTTTAAAATTGCCCTGGGTGTAGTGCAGTGTTTCGATCTTGGCTCACTGCAACTTCCACCTCCTAGATTCAAGGATTATCCTTCCTCAGCCTCCCAAGTAGCTGGGACTACGGGTACACCCCGCCATGTCCAGCTAATTTTTGTATTTTTATTAGAGATGGGTTTTACTCTGTTGCCCAGGCTCATCTTGAACTCCTGATCTCAGGTGATCCACCCACCTCGGCCTCCCAAAGTGCTGGGATTATAGGTGTGAGCCACTGTGCCCAGCCTGAACTATAATTGTAAAGCCGACCTGTGAACCCACTGCCCACTTTAAGAACATTACTGATAACTGTGTGCTTCTCTGATCTCAGCCCCATGGCTCCCTAGCTTCCTCAGATAAGAGTTACTCTGAATTTCCTTGCATTTAAAAATAGCTTAACCACCTATGACATTCTTAAACAGCATATTGTTTAGGTTTGCTTAATCAAAATGCTGTCACACTGTTAGTGTCTTCTAGGAGACTAGATAAATAAATTACAGCCTACGTCATACACAGCACGTGTTCTTCCAGGTGAAAATGAACACACGCAGACTGCACGTGACAGCTCGGATGAATCTGTGTGAGGCTGGAAGCTGTTCTCCAACTCTCATTCTGCTCAGGCCAATGGCTTTCACCTCCACCCCAGGAAATGGAATTTAAAAGGTGGATGAAATTAAAAGGGCTCTCCTTCCTCCACCTTTAACCCCAGTTAATTCCTGTCCAGAGAGTCACCATAGCTGCCTGAGACTGATCTCCTTGGAAAGGACTGCTTGCAAGGTTGGCCCTTGGCTGGCATCTGGGAACTTGGATTTCAGGAGGGTTCCCACCGTTCCCTAATAAGGATGGCTCACTGTGCCTGAGCTGTCCCAACAATAGCCTTTATGTGGAACAGCACTGTCTTTCTGGAATTGTGGTATGTGCTGGACACAGGGGTGCCTATGTGACCAGCTCCCTCTCTACCGGCAACAGGAACCCTGGGCGCAGAGTCTCTAATAAGGGTCCCTGGTAGACAACATTTGACATGTGTTCTCACTACTCCTTGCTAGAAGAATTAAGCTTGTCTTGTGCAACTCCCTGGGGGAGGATTCTTGGAACGTATTCCTGGTTTCCTCTGGACTCTGCCCCAAGAGCCTTTCTCTTCGTGGATTTGGCGCTGTATCTTTTTGCTGTTATAAATCATAGCCATGTGTGGGACTATGCTGAGTCTCCAGAGTCCTCCAATGAAATATCAGACCT